ATGGAATATCTGTTTTGTTATAATGAAGTAAAACAACAAGTGTATATTATCTCATGACACAGAGTGGGTTCTCAGATTTGTTCCCTTTGATGTAGTTTTGAACCTAGGTGAGGTCCGGAGCCCAAGGCCAAGATAGAATTCTTGAGACCTCAGGACCCTTGGGCAAAAGAACTGCACTAGGGTTGTGAGGGGTGACTGATTATATACTATGGGGTTGGGGGAGGTAAGGAAAAAAGGAGGTGTCCAAACGGACTTTCGTATGCTAAGGAAGACCCTCAGGGTACCAGAGGCCTCGCTATTATCAAGGTAAGGTTGTTTTTCCCTCTAGCAAAGCATTAACATTAAGATAGTTGGAAGTTTCCTGGAGGAATGTCACCCAGATCTCATCCAGGAGTGGGGGGGGGAGGTGTTGCAGGGGTGTCAGCTTGTGCTTTGTCCTTGACTAGCCTTCTGGACGAGGGCGTCTCTTTCACTTATTTCTTTTTTAAAAAATTTTTAAAGATTTTTTATTTATTCATTTGAGAGAGAATGCACAGGTGCATGAGCAGGGGGGAGGGTCAGAGGGAGAGGGAGGAACTGACTCCCACCGAGTAGGGAAGCCTAATGTAGGGCTTGATCCCAGGACCCTGAGATCATGACCTGTGCCCAAGGCAGACGCTTAACCGACTGAGCCACCCAGGTGCCTCTCACTTATTTCTATAATTCCAGGCTTGGACTTAGCCCCGTCAGAACAAAAAGAACCTTGGCTCCTCCTCAGGGGACTGCTGAGATGCCACAGATGACTAATTGTGTCCCTTGCCAGTACTTTTAAATATTTCCTCCAGGTATTCTGTCCCCTTGTGGTATCTAAGGGGCCTGAATCATATTTCCTTTCCCTGTGCAAGTTTACTGCCCTTCGGAAGGAGGAGATAACACGTGGTGCAGGAAAAGCATCTAGAAAGTCAGCATGGGCCCGCCACAACAGAGAATTCCATCCCCTCCAGAAGGCTGAATCTGACATCGCAATAGCTGGTGACTCGAGATCCGTGAGGAGGTCGGAGTTTCTCGTTTAGAGAGTGCACTGGTTCCCTCTGTTGTTGCCTCGAGACATTGCAGCCTAGAGGCAAGTCAAAGCACAGCACAGAGAGGCTCCCACACTCAGGGTACAATGGGGAGAGGGAGGCTTTTCTTCACCAGGCTGTAACGGGGGCGGCTTACCCACTGGGTCTAATCCCGGGATCACTGTCCTTGGCCAAAAGTTTGCACAAGAGAGCTGGGCATGTCCATTGACGTTGGGGCTGCAGCATTGGAGCCCAGGGAGGGGTACAGGGACTTGGGGAGAGAAAGACAAATATGGGACCAAAAGGAAAACACTGTGGTGAGAAAATATGGGAACCAAGTTGACAGAGCACTTACTGTGAGCTGTTACCTGGTGATGGCCCTTTGAAGAACAATAGCTCTTTATAGAAACTGTACAAAAGTATTGTTTCCTATCTACAGCCCTATAGCGCCCTCTGTGGCCATCTTCCCCAAAGAAGCGTGACAAAACTGAACGCCTTTTCTTCGAACTGCTTTGGGATTGAAAGCCCGGGGAATAAATCAAAAAGGGGTGGAAAGGAAGGGGCAGCATCACAGATATGCCTGTGGTTAGCTATGCCTTTTCCAATCCTCGCTTCTGCCAGGAATAAAAAAAAGGTAGTATGTGTGCATAGAGTTTGAAAGCCACAGTGTGTTATTAGTATCATGTTCCTACAGAGATGCTCTCACTCACTTTCTCAGATAAGTAAAAAAAAAAATCTTAAAAAAAAAAAAAAGAACCATTAGATTTTCCCAAACAAAGAACTCATAGTCTGGTGGGGGAGACAGACCCCTCTGCGAGGTGAAGGACCTGGCTTAGAACACAAGGGAAAGCTCATCATGTGAGATTGAAGAGAGTCACAAGATGGTGACTCTGGGGAAGTGAGCTGATGAACTGAAAAGTGCCCATGACCCCAAGCTTTTCCATTAAGGTGTCAGGACATCATCATAGAAGGTGGGGAGAGGTAGGAGTTGGAAGAGAGAATAAATTCACTGAGAAGCACGCTGGGGAGGAGGGTGGGATTAAATTGAACAGCCCCTGTCTGTCTCTTAGCTGGATTTGAGGTGGGCTCTTTGATAACCTGCATCGGCAGTTCAGCACTAGACACAAGGTTGGGGAGAGACTAGGGGAGGGGGGTATGTGTCAGCACCCTGCTTGTCAACTGGCCCCAGGAACTATTCGTCCTGGAAATTCTGACTGGGGCGTGTCAATGCCAGCATTTTGTTAGTATCTCAAACTCAATATATATTAAACTATGCTCCTGATCCCTCTTCCCGGCTTGCTTTCTCCACTGCCTTCCCCAGCTCAGTTAATGGAAACTTGGTCCTTCAGATGCTCAACTCCAAATCCCTGAGGTCACCCTTGATAGTCCAGAAACTGCACGATCAATATATATAATCAAGAATTGTCTCTAGATTCACAAGTGTTGTGTTTTTATTCTCGATCTTAGAATAGTGAAAGTTCACAAAAGAGATACCTAAACTCTGATTATTTTAAGTCAGCATTTGTCACTGTTTTACTTGGTGTCATAAACTAACTGCCTTAATTAGTAGCTTGCACTAAGAGCTGCATTGTTATTATTTTTCAAACAGCTTTTCTCCTGAAAATTTAAGATTCTACTTATGAATTATTGTTCTGGTTCTTACAGCCTGAGCAAATTTCCATTAAATCCTTTCTGCTTCATGGGGACATGTACAATGTTAAGGTACTGATCCTTACTCTATTATCATGTCCTAATATTATTTGAGTACCATATATTTTATTTTTTTAAGATTTATTTATGAGAGAGAGAGTGCATGAGCACTAGTGGGGTGAGGGGTAGAGGGAAAGGGAGAGAGAGAATCTCAAGCAGACTCCCCGCTGAGCCGGGAGCCCAACGTGGGGCTCGATCCCACGACCCTGAGACCAGGACATGAGCCAAGATCAAGAGTCAAACTCTTAATTGAATGAGCCACCCAGGTGTCCCATGAGTACCATGTATTTTAGTACTATATCTCTTAATAGATTTTAATATTGTCTTAATTCTTTTGGCGAGGGATGGACACAGGGAGAGATTAGTGGTTAATCTCTAGGATATGTTTGTTTGGGTTATGCTGGAGCCATGTTATAATATAAAGTATTGATGTTGGGGCACCTGGGTGGCTCAGTCGGTTAAGTGTCTGCCTTCGGTTTGGATCATGGTCTCGGGGTCCTGGGATGGAGCCCCGCATCAGGCTCCCTGCTCAGAGGGGAGCCTGCTTCTCCCTCTCCCGCTCCTCCTGTTTTTGCTCACTCTCTCTGTCAAATAAATAAATAAATCTTTAAATAAAAAATAGAATAAAGTATTGATGGGATTTAGGCAAAGAAACCTGACTGGTGTGCAGTGGAAAATGGCAGGTTTGCATTCCACCCACCCCACCTGCGAATCCTAATGAGGAATAGCAGCAACAGTTACTATATATAGCCTGACTTCCCTTATTACTTGAAACATAAGACCCTTTGATTTGCTTTTTTCCCTACTGACATAAGTGTAATAATGTTTTTCTTCTTTTTGCCTCTTGAATCTAGATTTAATGTTTCTAATGAATAGCACAAAATTTGGCCTATTTCATAGCCATAGAACAGATTATTCCTTTCTGAATATTTTTACATATTTTAAGTGCTCTTTATAGTCTCTGAGCATTTAAAGCATATTTTAGCTAATCTTAATTTTGAATTCATTATATATATATATGCAACAGATTTATGGTGATAAGACTTGCATAATTTAAAAGTCACATTATTTTTGAGACTCGTTTTCCCACAGAAATAAAAGGAAAGTGGGATTATACATATCTAGAGAACATAAATCCACAACTCCTACAATGTGGTTTTGCTTTAAGGTTGCTTTGTCTTTTGTAGTCATTATCTGCAGAATTTAGTGGAGTCCTTTCTTCCAAGTTAACAGTATTTTTTTTTAAAGATTTTATTTATTTATTTGAGAGAGAGAGAGAGAGAGCAGGTGCACTAGCAGGGCAGAGAGACAGAGGGAGAGGGACAAGCAGACTCCCCGCTGAGCAGGGAGCCCGACACAGGACCCCAGGATCATGACCTGAGCCAAAGGCAGACGCTTAACTGACTGAACCACCCAGGTGCCCCCATCCAAGTTAACAATATTTTTATCACACTGATTGGCCATGTCCATAATATTTCACCTCTACTAATTTCTTCCCCATAGTGACTAGTTTTTCAGGGTCAGTTTAGTGCAAATTATTGAACAAAGATATAGGTGTTAGAAGATCTTAAAAATAGTTTAAACTATGCAATAGTATATGCTAAAGTAAAATCATAGGAATAAGAATGCATCATAAAGAATGATGTCAGATCGAGAAACAAGACATCTGAAGACTATGGATCAAGGAAGAAAAAAAATTTATGGTATTTATTATAAATAAAGGTGGCCGCTGACCTTGATTCAGTTGCTCAAAGATAGTAGCAAGGTTCTGGGCTCTTTCCACATCCCCCTGGGCGTTTTCAGTGGATTAATTTTTGCCCTTGGGCTTGTTGCATCTCAGGTGCAAATGTGTGCTAATCTCCAGGCACATCTTCCGTGAGAGCATTCAGAAGCAGGCAGGAGGGATGTGGCCAGGGCAGTCAGTGACTACTCTTTCAAAACTCTCCTTTTATGAAGGAATAAAATATTTTTATCTAATTGGCCGAAAATAACTTAAGAACCAAAAACAGGTAAAAGAAATATATTACTGAACTTGATTTAGACCAGGTATGATTCATCCCCTGGGACCTGCCTAATGCTTACCTGAATAAAATCAAGTTTCTGGGGCGCCTGGGTGGCTCAGTCGGTTAAGCATCCGACTTCTGATTTTGGCTCAGGTCATGACCTCAGGGTCGTGAGATCGATCCCCATGTCTGGCTCCTCGAGAGGAGTCTGCTCTCTCTCAAATAAAATAAACAAAATCGTTTTTTTAAAAAGAAAAATCAAGTTTCTGTTAGGAAGGAAGAGGGGGAGAAGAGTTATTGCATTAGGCAATGAAGAGTGTATGCAACATCCATGAAAATGGGCTAGATGTCACGTAATTACCATCATGTTTCAATTATTTCTTGCTTCATAACCAAACACTCTTAAGAGTTAGGGGCTTAAAACAACAAGGTACTATTTCTTCTGATGGTTCTGAGGGTTGCGGGGCAGTTCTTCCTTTGGGTCCCTCATATGGTTGCAATAAGATGGCAGGTGAGGATGGTATCATCTGAAGTCTTCTTCTCTCTTCTGTCTGACACCTCAGATGTTGGGAACAGCTGGGGCTAAGAGCATCTTTCTCCCAGTGACTCAGATGGGCTCCCTCCCTCCCTGACAGTCTCAGGACAGCCAAACTATTTCCAGGGACTAGTTACCTCCTGAACAAATATTCCAAGAAATCTAGTTGGGAGCTGCAAGGCTTCTTATGACCTAGCTTCAGAAGTCACCCCATGTTACTTCTACTGTATTTTGTTGTCAAAGCAGTCACATTCCGGCTCATATTAGAAACAACAAGGGAATAGATTCCTCCTCGCAGTGGGGGAATGGCTTTCTCCTACAAGAGGGGAAGGAAAATATAGTGGCCATCTTGCAAACAAACTAGCACATGTGATAGTATTGTTGTGGGCTGAATGTTTGTGTCCCCCCCTCCCAAATTCACATGTAGAAATCCTAATCCCTCAGGTGATGGTATCAGGAGTTGGGGCCTTTGGGAGGTTGGTTAGGTCATGAGGGGGTGAGGAGTGTGATTACTGCCCTTAAAAGAGACCCCAGAGAGCTCTCACCCCTTCTGCCTTGGCAGGACACGTCGAGAAGACTGCTGTATGTGAATCAGGAAGCGGACTTTCACAGGACACCGAATGTGCCAGCACCTTGATCTTAGACTTCCAGCCTCCAGATCTGTGAGAAGTAAGTTGTTTAAGCCACCCAGTCCATGGCATTTTTGTCATAGCAGCCTTAAGGAACCAAGACAGGAGGGTGTCAAAGTATGGCTACCGGCAAGTGATGGCTGAGAGTTTAACAAACTAGCCAATGGAACGCCACGACGTGGCGCCAGTATAAACATGGCTTATAATTCATATTCACCAGTGTTGTAATTATCTGCCTCTTGATGAATCTTTCCAAGTTAGGGGGATTTGCACTGATTGGAGTTTTAGAGTTTTAGAGAGTATGTAGTCATGTAGGTACTACTCAAATATTATTAAATGTGCCCTCACCACAGTTCATGTACAACTCAACAATGTCATCTTTTTTGAGTTTTCTTGTCTCCTCTCCCTCCTGTTTTTGTTTGCTTGTTTGTTTGCTTGATTGATTGATTTGCATATCCCTGGGGATTAGGAAGGGGGGGGCGGTCAGGGAGTGCCTGAGGGTTGGGCTGGATGAGAAGGACTCTGGGGAATCAGAACATCTAAATGGGTTTCTGTTACTTGTTGTGGAGAGTGTGAGGCAAACCTCTCCTCCTTCACCTTCTCTGCCAAATCTTCAGTAAATTCAACCTTGTTCACTGATCCTTTCTTACGAGTGAGTTGTGATTTTGGCAGGGAAGGGCATTGGCAAGAGCGTTGCAGTATTGCTTTCTGGGGCCACATGGGGCAGGGCTGGGGGAGAATGGGGGGCCCAGGAGCTTAGAGGCCAAGGGGATCATGAGAAAGTAAGTCCCTAGGAATTTTCAGAAACATTGCAGAAGTTTCCTCAGGGCATGGACTCAGGGAATTGAGGTAATTCTACCTGAATTTCAGGTGCTGGGGAGGGGCCCAGCGGAAGCTGTTAGATTCCACTGCACTCCATTTACTCCTACCTCAGCCAGTCCGGCAGCTGCAGTGTCCCCGAAGTCCCCAGTAAAACAGCATTTTACACTTGGGAGAAACCCCTTAGGCTCCTACTATTATTAGTACATTTGGGTAGATTGAGTAACTAATTAACTTAGGCAATGGCCTCATATTCAGAAAACTTCTTAGAACTCACCATGTTGACCACTCGTTGCCCCAGTAAATCAAACAGATTGGGAGAACACTTGTATCAAGCATGTCTTTCCATTTTCTGTATTCTGGTATTTTGACACTGGGGGCCTTGCTGACCCTGGAGGGACTGCCTCTCCCAGGACTAGCCAATTCCTAGTGGTAATAAACAGCTTGCTGTGCTTTTCAAACGCAAACCCACCAATCCAGAACCCACACCCCCGACCCCCTCCTTGATCTCACCTCAGCCCTGTTGACCCCAGGGCCAGGTGTCAGGCAACTAGCCACAACCCCTCTGCCTCAGAGCCGCTGATATCATTCAAACTAGCCAGTCCCAAACCTGCTGTCCTGCCTTGCCTGTCCCTTCCCAGGGAAACCAGGATGAAGGCTTTGGCCTGGGGTTCCTCCCTTTCTCCCGCCCCTGTGACCTACAAGTTATTTTCCACGCGTCACCCTTCTCTGTCTCCCATGGAATGGCATGGCCCCTCCCCTCAGGAACTGTGAGTAATAAACTTCTTTCAACAGCAATCATCTCCCAATCTGTGAGCCTTATTAAATCTCACTTTCTTATTAATAACACTATATTTTAAAACAGCACCACGCTTAAATGTGCCAAATTCCTAAGCTACCCAGGATCATAAGGAATAAAAGCACTTTTCCCAGGAGAATCCACATCATTGGGCCGTAAGTACCTGCACCTGCCTTGAGACCTGAAAAAAAGGAGACAGAGGGCAGAGCACTCGTGTGGAGGGTGTGTGCATGTACGTGTGCGCACGCGCGTGCGCGTGCGTGTGCATGTGCTGGGACTGAGGTCAGAGCACTCACGCAGTGTGTGTGTCCCCCTTTCTCAGCACTCTCCATGCCTTCTCAGAGCGTTTCTCAAGGGTCCCAGAGATGCTAGAAAGGGCAGTCGCCTGCACAAGACTTCTAGGCAGGGATGGTGGGAGATATCTAGGCAGGGATGGTGGGAGATATCTAGGCAGGGATGGTGGGAGATATCTAGGCAGGGATGGTGGGAGATATCTTAAGGTTTAAGGCTGTGCAGATGTAGGCCTGGTACAGGTTGCGGAGCTGAGGAATCACTGAGGACAGACCTATCCTGGGACACAGACCACCCCCACTTCCTAGTCCTATTGGTGTCCACCTGTGTGTCCGATCTCTCCTCCTCCCTTCAAGGAGCCTCTAGGTTAGCATTAAGACCTTGTTCCCAAAGACAGTGGATTCCAATCTAACTGGAGGTTCTATTAGCCATCCCGTTGGAAGCAGAACGCCACGGGAAAACACACAGGGAGAACCTCATGGATGACAGGAGCAGAGCTTGGAGTGAGGGGTCCACAAGCCAAGGCACGATAAGGATTTCTGGCAAACACCAGAAGCTAGAAGAAACATGGAAGGATTCTTCTTATGGGTTTCAGAGGGTGCATGGTCCTGACAAGACCTCGGTTTCAGACTTCTAGCTTCTGTGAGAAAATAAATTTCTGCTGCTGTCAGCCACCCAATTTTTAGTACTTTCTTGTGGTAGCCCTAAGAAATTAATACAGAGAGGAAATAAGAACAAACAGGGGCCTCTCTAGGCCGTCCCACAAGAAGAGGAAATAGAAATGAAGGGAAAAGAAAACAGCAAGGATTCCAGACAGTTCTGAAGACTCTTCTAATCCCAGCCCCTGAAAAACTCAATGGAAAAAGAAATAGGTCATTTGAGGTCACTCAACCATCAGCCAGGATCCATCGATAGGTGAGTTTTGGTCGCTGAGATGAATCCCTTCTCTGCTTTGGAGTTTTCCTAAGGGCCTTGGGATTCACTTCTGTAGTTTTTCTTTAGATGGAGCTCCCAGCCAGAGGTTTAGAAGAGGAAGAAGGAGGTGAAAGGATTGGGGAGGAGGGAAATAAATTCACCTCTGGCCTGGAACTGCAGAATGTGACCTTATATAGAAATAAGGTCATGGCAGATGTCATTAACGTGAAGTCAGAGTGGAGTGGGATGCGTCATTAAGCCAATATGACCAGAGTCCCTACAGGAAGACGAGAAGAGACACAGGAAGCAGAACGCCACGGGAAAACACACAGGGAGAACCTCATGGATG